CCCCCCCCCCAATAAACAACCCCACTCTCGAAGAGCGCTGTACACGGGGCAATTTTCTCAATTTTCCACTCTCCCTGTAGAAAGACTACCGACATGCTGGATTTCCTCTCCCTGTAGAAAGACTACCGACATGCTGGGCTTTTTCTCTCATTAACATACAATGCTTCTAAACAATTAACCCTTTGTTAGGACATACAGCGTTCACATCTAAAGTCACATGATAACAAATGATAAGATCTACTAGCACAGTACAGACCGTGTTAATTATAGTAAACATTAATGAGAACATGTAACAATTATAAAATAGGTGTTAACCCAATTTAGCTACAAAAGTGGTGCCCTCATTTTGCAAACTTTTATTTTCTAAACTTCTTATAGGCGGGAGTATACCCACAAATGAAGACTAGAGTTACCGTGTCCTCCAATGAACTATTGAAGAAAAGATTCAGTGCCATACCACATTCTTTATCGACTCACCCTGCCGGATTCACACCTGGGCGTAGCATAGGCACGTTTTTTCGCACGTTTTTCCATTCAGTGAACGCGCGTTTCGCTGGCGGTATGATTTTTTACAAAAATTTTCCTTTATTTTCTCTATATTTTTATTTGTTTTTTTAACTTTCAAACTTCCTGCCGGTTCCGCCCCCCTGCGACGCGGCCGCTTGCAAGGGACGGAACCCGGAAGTCGGCAGCCGCCGGAGGACATAGTGGGGATCGTGGACAAGGTAAGTCCTACGCTGTATTCCGGAGTGTGGCTCGGGGTTACCGCTTTGTTAAACCCGAGCCACACTCGGGAATATCAATGGAAACGCGTGGAAAAACGCCCTAAAGAAGCTCCTGTACTTGTTTGGGCGTTTTTCAGCGCGTTTCCACGGGCTGAAATACGCCCAGGTGGGAACCATGCCCATAGGGAAGTATGGGATTTCACTGTTTGAATGTTTTTCAGCGCTTCGATCAGCGCTGAAAAAAGGTGTGAACCCAACCTAAAGCTAGCTGCACACAAAGTCAACAAAGGTTAGCACATTTGGATTGTTTAGGTAAGCTCTCAAGCTATATAATTGTTCATAAATTTAGTTGATCTGATAATTGTTGATTAGGAAGCTTAAGTGGGAGTAGGTCATTGGAGTGAATCCAGTAAACATTGCACTGAGTGTATCTCTACATATTCTGCACAAACATCCACAGGCAAAACCAAGAAAGTAGGCTAGTAAGCCCTGCTTGAATAACCAGATCAGGGCCGGCCTTAGGCCTTTAGGCGCCCTGTGCGAGAAAGCTTTACAGCGCCCCTCAGTGACCACACCCCTCAGTGGCCACACCCTTTAGTGGCCACACCCCCAGTAACCAAACCCATTTATCACCCATATTTTTGGTAAAATATAAAAAGACGGGGTCACGTCGGGTAAATAGACACCAAACATGTCAAGCTTAAAAATTGCGCGCACCCGCAAAATCGCAAAAAATTACCATGCCCAAAATTGACCATAGGTGACGCTTTAAAAGCTTTTACCGCTCATCAGTTTAGTGTTATCAGTGATTGATAGCCCTACAATTATTGCTCTCATTCCGACGTTCGCGGCGATATGTAACATGTGCAGCGTAATGGGCGAAATCGTTGTTTTCACACATATACGCACCCGACGCCTGTTTGAATGCGTGTATGTATGGGGGGGACTTTAAAAAAAAACTGCTCGCACACCCCTAAGGCCGGCCCTGAACCAGATAATAGATGACACAAAATAATAGAATTTGCAAACACAAAAATTACATACGCAGAGTTGTGAGAGGTTGCACTTGATAAACATGACTCTTTGTTTCAAGCTTATTAACTAAGTAACACTTAATAGCCCAAATGACATACTATACCATATGCCAAACATATCCTGACAACACAGAATCGTCAATACAATATACTTACTTATGCTTTCTAATGTCACTGATGCCGTTTTTCCGGTTACCGAGTCTTTCTGCTGGATTAATCCTAGAAACAGAAAATGATTATTTGTACTTTATTCTATGGTGCATACAATTATTTTAAAGCAACTGAAGGATTCAGTAAGTATGGATTTTGAAATCTAAACTCTCAAACACTGTAAGGTATGCACAACATAAGATGAAGGATGTTCAGCAATATATTTGTTTAAAAAGGGAGAGAAATAAAGAAAAGATGCAAAAGAAAAGCAGGTCCAGTTTGTTTAAAGCTGAACTTTGGGAAAAACAATTTAATTTAAATATATTCCTCAGTAGCCATAAAGCATTCCTTTGCAAAGCCAGTAAATAAATTTTACCCTTTCACTGCCAAGCCCTGCCTAACACTTTTGACCTCAGCTGGCCAGACCATTTTTGCAATTTTTCACCTTTTAAAAAAATTTTTTTAAAACCCTCCAAACCATTAATTTCCTGAAGGCACAGGACTGGTAGAATAAAAAAATGGTGCTACTAGTTTTGTAGGTCCTGCGATAATTGTGCAAAGGTTTATTAAATCAATATTAAACCAATAAAAATACATAATTAAATTGATAAAAATACAGTAAAATCAGTATCGGCGTATAAAAAGAAAAAACAATTTACAAGATTCCAACTAAATCTAAAAATTAAAATTGTATTGAATTAATAAACAAATATCTGTACATTTTAAATTGTACTTGTAAATATAGCAACTAAGCAGCACAGTGACATAGTTGTTAGCGCTTCTGCCTTGCAGCGCTGGACTGGGCTGGGTGTACCCGCTAGGAATTCCAGCCAGGTCACTATCTACAAGTGACTCCCTGTGCCTACGTGGGTTTCCTCCCACTTCCAAAGATATGCTGGAAGTTTAATTGGCTCCTGCCTAAATTGGCCCTTGTAAGTATGATCATGTGAGATGGGGACCTTAGATTGTAAGCTCCTCGGGGGCAGGGACGTATGCAAATGTGCACATGTAAAGCACTGTGTAAATTGACGGCGGTATATAAATACCTGAATCAAATAAACTTATGCTGAAAATCTGTGTTGTGCAACACCTGGTCTGAAGTCTTGTTGGTGCGCTGTGTTGGTGTGTGTGTTGTAATAAAATTATGCAGGCATACATTTAATCACAACAGCACGTATAAACACATGCATCACAACACTTTGCCATGCGCTGCCACACAGTTGAATCAATGTAATTTTAAAAAGTAAAACAAAATCAAGCACTTCAATGTGTTACAACAACGCACCACAGCGCATGTGCATGATGTAAACCACAATATGGTGTACACTGTTGCAAGTATATGTTATGTGCGTGAGTAGGGAGCAGTTGTGTTTTATTTCTTTTTTAACTTTTTTATTTTCAAATTTTTTTTTAACTATCGGGGGGCTTCAGGGAAATATCTGGGGTCTAAACAGACCCCTGACATTTACCTTTTTGAAATAGAAAAAGAGATTGAGGACACAGAGTCCTCAATCTCTTTTTCTCAGCCTCAGCACTGAATGAACAAAAAGCACTCCATACAGAGGCTTCCTGTTTATTCACAAACGGAGGAGGTATAGTACTTTTCACAATTATGAATGGACAGGAAACCTCTGTACTGGGTTCTCTTGTTCATTTATAAACTGAACACATAGTAAGCGCAATATGTCCCCACTCATGAATGAACAGGAAGTGATGTATAGCACTCCCTGTTCATTCATAACTGAGGACATTGTAAATAACTGAGGACATAGTAAGCTTACTAACACCCAGTGATCAGTGCTGATCTGTGTTCTCTCCTCCCCACTCGGCATCCTGAATGTCACCTGACCCCCAGCAATTGCAGTGGTCTGTGTCCACTCTGATCCCTGCTGCCTCTGCCAGTAGAGGCAGGGAAGAGCAATGGGGATCAGAGGGGACACAGATTGGAGCAAGCAGCCATCTGCCAGCGGGGAGGTGAGCGCTGCAGAGGCAGCAGAATTCGCGGCAAGGAGGGAGAGGAGGCCGGATTTTTTATGAATAGCTGTCATCGGCGACTTATCAGCTGTTCATGATAACCATTTATTTACAGGAGACCGTCAGGGGGACCCTTCTGTTATAAGTACATGGTCGCTGAAATGACCATTAGCTTATGATAGAAGGGTGAAGGCCAGCGACATAAAGCATACTGACGTGGCCAGCTGGAAACGGTTTGTTTTCCAACGTATGCCTTACGTTGTTGACAGGGGAAGGGTTAAAGGTAGCAGTGACATCAGTCTGCTGTGCATAGCCTGAGCAGAGCTGTGGGAGGAACCTAGCAGATCCCACACGCTACAGGCTGCCTGCAGTAAACTAAAGGAATGGGAGGATACAAGACCAGTCACCCTGCACAAAGAGAGCAGGAGTGACTGGTCTTTATTACAGGAAGCTCCTGCACAGAGGCAAGTTTCACTCTGGTTACTGCACAGATCTGGAAGAAATACACAAAGCTCAACGCGATCTAAGTAAGAATACACGTCTGTTTGACACTATTTAGAAAATATTTGCTTATCCTAGAGCAGGGGTAGGCAACCTTGGCTCTCCAGCTGTGCTGAAACTACAAATACCATAAGGCATTGCAAGCCACAGGCAGGACTCCCAGAGGCAGAAACATGATGGGATTTGTAGTTTCAGCACAGCTGGAGAGCCAGGGTTGCCTACCCCTGTCCTAGAATTTAAATGTATTGGGTAATGTAATTTGCATAATTAATACTTTTGCAAGTATTTTAAATATTCTTTTTTCCCGATTTATCCTTCTTACAGGGAACCCACTATGTGTAGGTTTTGGTGCAATATTCTCAATTAAAAAAGTATGTATTTTTTCTACATATTAGTTTTATTCAAACACTGGACTGTCTTTAATTAAATGATGATTACTTAAAACAGTAACTGTTAATTAACCAGCTAAAATAAGCTGATACATTTGATTATTAATTTTAAACAACTTATACAATTAATTTTTTCTTATAATTTTTTTCTGTGACACCCTGTTACACACATCTCTTCTACTGACAGCTTTAGTTGTTGCAAATCAGAGGAGTTAAAATATGACAGAAATCAGGGGGATTTTTTTTACATTCTTTTCTCTGCTCTCCGTGAACACCATAATTGGTTATTCATAATCACATGATTGGATTACAGATCTCACTGACGGGTTCCCTCGTGGAAATCAGAGTGATCACCTGAACATTCTGCAACTGGGGGGAAAGGACTTTAGTGCCTGTCTGGCCACTGGGTATGGGGAACTTGCCAGGAGGATGTTAATGCACAGTGTGTGGGGGGTGGGAACACGATTAGCCTAAAAAAACTTATTGTCTTCAAAAAGCAAACAGCAATGTTGCATAGGTGATTTGTATCTGAGTGTATCACATCTCCATGTACTATAATAATGTGTTTTCCGCTTCCGAAGTTAGTTTTCCGCATGCCATATTCATAAATTTTGAGCGTACAGCTCTTTATCTTAGCTTGTCATATTGAATTTCTCTAAATAGAACTGAATGTTTCCCTTGAAGCAAATGTGAACAAATAAAAGGCAGAACAGCTGACAGCTATATTTTACATTGTGTTAATTTTTGTATGGTTTATGCTTGCCATGCCTGCGTTAACCATTCATTTATACACAGAAACCGCATGTACAAAATGAATACAGAACAGCCTGCATCTTCTTCCATGCAAGCAATCAGTCATTTTCTCACATGCACCAGCCTGTCCTTATGAGTTATGTTTGACAATATAAATAATACAAACAATATATTCTATTCATCACAGGTAGGCATAGATACATCTGCCAGGGTTCATTTCTCAAGTGGTCCTTTTGCATCCTCTATTTCGTGATACCTAAACTTAACAGCCAATCCCACTGAAGTCTCAATTCTGAAAATGTTTTGTTTGTGTATACTCACGATAATAGAAATGCATCTTGAATGAAAAATAATGTGAATGGATTGCCACTGGTGTTAAGTAGTTTATAAATATGTAATTTAGTATTGGAGGTACTTAGTGATTCTACACAGCAACGGTCAGTAAAACTGAACTATTCACCATTCCAGCAAAATCCTTCCATTTAGTGAATGGGTATATTTCCCTATGGTAAAGCACAGCAGTGTATTTTTTTATTTTTATTTAGAATAGTAAAACAGCTTCTAATTACAGGTCATTATTACTAGTATAGTAGAGAAGGCTGATTTCTTCATTTGTGGAAAAAAATTCTGTTTCATTAGTAAAACTGGAATACAACAAACCAGCCAGAGGTCTGAAGCATGACAATGACTCAGACTTCTTTTTTCTTAGTATGGGCTGAAATTCCCATGAAGGATCTTTTCACTTAGCAGTTTCACACTCAGCGCTCATTTACACATGTAGCTATGAGTCATTTTTTGTAGACATGTCCTTTTACTAAAATTTTAGTTATCTAGAGCTATATGAAAAACCATTAGCACATTTACAATAGAGTCTACTGCTTGCAGCTTAAAGTGAACCTGTACATTGCTCACACAAGGCAAAGCAACAGGTCTACTTTAATTTAGCCCTCACCAATAGGATATACTTAGCCTAAATTCCCTCTGTTCAGCAGCTAGGAGGGAAGGAAAAGTCATGTATAAGCTATGAGTTGCTGGCATCCTAGCTTACACAGAGCTTTGGACTTCCCATTTGATATTGTTAATTGGCCCAGTGCTCTTGCATGGAGTAAGTCACATCCTTCTTCATACCTAGACATATGTATTTGCTTTGGCTCCTGGTGATAAAAGGAATAGGGGTGAGTAAGGGACGTATATGCTGGGTGGGGGGAGAAGCAAACATTTTACTTTGCTATGTATGGGCAAATCACAAGTTTACATTAAAGGCGAACTCTATATTCAATGTTGTCTCTTGGTGGGTGCTGTAGTGACAAGTGGATGGCACAGCCGAATATAACAGAGAGTAAGTGACCAGCACACCAAAATCCCACCATCAAAACGTCTTTAATGATGTTCAACCAACAACGTTTTGATGATGAAGATTTTGGTGTGCCAGTGACTTACTCTCTATGTCCT